GGACTTTACCAAAATCATTCTGGAAATACAAAAAGATATAGGCAGACCAGACCATATATACCCTTATACTCAAAAACTTTTAACACCTCTACAGGATACACAAGATCTGACTTACCTCTGACAAAAAAAAAACGCCAAAACCACAAACATTTCCCTTCCTCAGTACGATATTTCTGCATGCATTTCTTCCTTCTACTTTTACTGTACTGCCACCCAATTTCCCAGCACAGTCATAACTTTATGTTGCAGTTTTGCATTTAATCAAACTCCTGCAAGCAAGTCCAGCTGCTAAAGGCAGCAGTCCTTCTCTCCTGCACCCATTCTCACCTATCTGCTCATCTCCCACTCCCTGCTACCCTCTCCCTGTGTCAGGAGCAAATTTTGTGCCACTGACAGATTAAGTGGATCAGGAGACTGATCTGTCTTAAAATGAATAATTTAGTATTTCCTAGGTTGATACTAACAAGGACCTGCTCCCTACTTGGATCTGCTACAGAATCACACGACAGGCTGTAGAGGCACAGAGGGACCCATGCAGTAGCAGGAATGAGTGGTCAGGGACAGCTAAGCTGCTTCTTTTGACTACAGCGCCAGTTTACGCTGGGATAATGTATTGGTAAAATGACAACTTTATTGCTTAGATGTTCCCAAATAGAACCATTTCTTTTAATTGGCATCATATTTTCCACCTTCCTCTGCCACTGAAGCTGATTTATATGATAGATTACACACCACTGTTAGGAGTTCAGCAATTTCATATGAGTTCCTTTAGAAGTCTTTGGGGAGTAACATCTGATCCTGGTGATTTCTTACCATTCATTTTATTGATTTATTCTAAACCTACATCTACGGACACTCCAATTTGAGACAGTTTAGACTCACACTGCATGAAGCAATGGTCCTGTGTGAGAACCTCCCCAGGTTCTCTCACACTGAGAGAAATTATTATTTTAGCTTTTCTACTATTCTTACACTGATACTGCTCCATGCACTCTGCTAAACTCCTATGGGCATGGCAGTAATACGTGTTTAGCTCACTCTGTTTGCCAAGTTTTCCTAAGACTTTTGGGAAAAGTTTACAAAAATCCCTCAAAATTATGACAGACAACATTCCATTATAAAGGACTGGTGAGAGTAAGGGCTAGCAGGCATTTATTCTTGCTATCCTAAAAGCTTGAAGATAGGATCACAAAGCATTGGGCAAATATTTATTCTCCTTGATACCAGTCAACATGCATCAGATACACTTATGTTGATTGTGTGGCAGTCAAAGGGTACATTTTTTAATAGCACAGTGAGCAGAAGTCCTAACAACATCCTTTATAGCTAAGAAACAAACAAACAAACAAAAAATATCAAAAAGCAATCAGCTTTTTTTTTTCCTCAGATTATTAAACAGAAGACAAGATCTAGAAAAAGCAGAGCTGTATTCCTTTTCTGCAACATCGTTTAGCAGATGACTACGACCAGCTCATGCAAGACACTACCATTCTCCTAAAAGGTCACGCACAGTTCCACAGAAGTCATTACCCAACATCAAAACAGTGGTTTTGGTGCAAGTGCAGAAACAGAATGGATTAAACAAAAGTAATCCTTACTACGCAGCACTTCTAGGACAAACAGACATGGTCTGAAGGCCCCTCCTAGATGCTATGTTGTGATCCTAAAACCAAAACTGCTTCTGTGTGACAGAGGAGAGTTCCCACTAAGCCAAGCATCATACAGAGTCCTGGATAAGGTGACAACACAGTACAAAGGTTCCTACTCCTTGTTCCTACTCCTAAGAAATCCAGACCATACTTAACACCTTTCTGCATCTGTTTCAGCTATGTCATGAGGATTCATCTTTTTCTGCCCCATTACCCTTCTCCAAGCCTTTCATCATCTTCCATCTTTACTTCTGTGATAGCCTAACAGAAGGGCCACACCTCTCCACCTTGCCACAAACCCTTTCACCCAGACCACTGAAAAGATACATCAGTTAAGACCAACACCATCACGTTGCTCCAGCCATACCATTCCTCATTAACACCCTTTCTCCAGATCTCCCATTTCCCACTGTTTCTTGCTCTCAAAGACCTTCACAAATCGATCTCTTCTCCCTGCTCATTCCCTAAAATTAATCCCACAATAGGGAGGTAAAAGACAGGTAGTGTTATCAGAAGTGATAAGGGAGATTATCTTCTGGTTCAGCAATGTTCTGCTCTGTGCCCTTCCAGAGGCTGCCAAACATTGAATGAACCACCATGAGGCAAGACAGTATGTTTGAATAGAGAGAGATCAGTTAGAGGATACTCCGAAGACTAGATCAGAGTAACATTCAGAGAAGGAAATGCTGCTAATGCCCATGAAATAAAAGCTTCTGCAGACAAGGACAACAATTCTGAAAGAAGTGTTGTAGTCAATGGGAAGGGATTAGAGATGCCGTCCCAAGACACTAAGATCTGGCCTCTTGGAGATTACTTGTTCACATCCCCATCCTTGATGAGGATTCACCCAGAAGGTACACCTTGCATTTTTTGCCTGGATATTGACATATTTGAATTGTCTCACCCTGTTCAATTCTTAGGATGTCAAACTGCCCCCTAAAGTACACACTCAGCAGACATTCCCCAGTGATTCTAACAACCTTACAGATGACTCAGAAAGTTGTTCTTAACAGAAATTTAAAATTTCCACCCATCTTATGGTAAGAAACAAGAACAGTCTTCTTGGGTGTTGGCACATTACAGGCTATAATAACTTAGCAAGATGAAAACTTTCTCCCTTTGAGATGGAAGGTTGGCAAGCCTTTGTTACTTGCAAAGCCAGATTTAAGATGATGCCACAAGAACTCGCAAAGACTCCCTGACATAGTCATCACAAAAAAACCCCTCAGTCATTAAACAGTTAAGTACGTTAAGCTTAAAATGTCTTGCAAACCTCAGGCTTTCAAGACATCCTTGCCTACAGAAGTCATCTGAGCAATAGACTAGTCTAGTTATGCACATTGCCGTGTCCTCTTCACTGTCCTCGGTTGCTGTAGCAGTGTTCAGCCACATCACAGACAATGGGACAACTCTTTAGGTTGGGTCCCCACCTGCTTATTATAGCAGAGGATGCTGCAGCAGAGTGCTTAAGGTATGTTGCTACAGGTTTAGCAGAGGCCGAAGAGAGGCTTGAGGCCTGGGCTGGACCCCAATTAGATTTATTCCAGACCAGCCCCAAAGCTTCCCTTTACTCTTCCAGCTGCAAGCAGTACCTGCTGACTTGGGCTAGAAAATGGAAGATGGCTGGGAGCAATCCATGGCGCACCATTCAGCCATGTCAGCATTTATAAAACGCAGTGCTCCATGACCACGCTAGCCCCAGGAAATAGTGGATTTTTATTTTAATGACCATACAGGGTTGCAGTTATGATTTGTTATACAAAGGGTGGGAATGAAAACATGCAGAGTATTCGTCCTTGGGAAGCAGGGTCAAACAGAACTACAGCCCCCTGCGCACCAGTGTATGTAAGAACAGCTCTTTCTCATGTTCTTTACAGACACAAATAAGCAAACCGGGTTGGCGGCTGCAGGGAAAGCAGGAGGCCAGGGAAGTCATCCTGCAACTGGCAAACTGACAGCAAGAGCAGCAGCTGGGTACAACAATATCGTCCTTTTATGTTCAGCAAAGCTATGCCTGCTAAAACACAAGCCTGCGGGACTTTGTAACTCAACCGTCCTCTTAGATGGGCCAGGCTGTAACTACAAAAAATACAAAGAACAGAGAATCCAAGCACACAAACAGCAGAAGGATGCCTTCACGTGTACACGCAAAGATGTACATATGTACAGTTGATATCGCATACTTCCTCATGTCAAATGCCACTGAATCTGCAAAACAATCCATTACAGGGGCATCTGCCACATAAAATATCAGGAAACATAACTCCCAGAGTCTTTTATTTTGTGGAAGTTCTATATTACCAGATTAATAAAGTAAGAAGAAAACACTGTGTGATGAACCACCCTTGAGGACGTGGAGGGCCGCTGGGCAAGGTTTAGCACACTTCTTTGTGATGGCATATAACTGAAGCCACATCTACTTTGTTATGTCCCTGGGATCCAGTTAACCCTGGCTACAGGGCAGAGCTAATTGTTTCATTCTAAAAGGAGTCAGGATAAGGCAGAAGAGGTGAGGGGAAAGCCAGTCAACCTTTAAATACATTACCATCTGCTAACAACCAGGCAAGCAGCGGTTTAGCATTTGTTTTGAGGGCATTTTATCAGCCCCTCTCTATAACAATAAGCACAGGCTTACGAATAGTCTCCCCGGTGAGGGGAGAGCGAAGAGAAAAGGAAGGAAAGGTAGTATACTTAAGGATGTATGCAGCATCTAATGATGTATGTAAGGAGTGCTTTGTACTTATAAACACTAAAATATAATGCCTATTACTAGTGAAAGTCTAATTGTTTTCCAGCAAGATTGTGAGCTTATAAAAAAAGATGAGGCAGACTATAAAGACAGGCAGCCAATGTCCCTCAATCTGCATATGATAAACATTAATGGGGAAACTTGTTCTGGATCCTACATTTGACCTTAAAGGACCAAAGAAGGACCCCCACTACACTGCCTAAGAGCTGGCTCAAGTAAATTACACCCAAAACTAGTCTGAGGGCATCTGTGGAAGGAAAACAATCACAGCCTCTCTCTGCACTAAATATTAATGTCTAGGCAGACAAAAGCTGCACTAGAAATACCATAATAACATCATCAGCAGACACTCTATACATTTCTTCTTCGGGGCATTCACACATCAGCAGGAGGAATATGCCTATTGTCCCACATTAAACTAATGACTTGTTCAGAGAACCCAATCCTGAGGTTCCTCTGGGAATCACAGATGTTATTTATATTTTCAGTCACTTAAAAGGATTAAAGTGTGTTTATTCTCAGTAATCTCATTTGCAGAGAAAGATATATACAGGCAGCAGGAGTACGCATTTTAAGCCCACCGGGAAGGACCAAATGCACACCTCCATTTACAGCCTTCCTCAGCTCCCCGGTATTCGGGACCTCCGAAAGTCTCACCAGCCTGGTCGCTCTCGTCAAAACTATCTATGAATTGCAGGTTGCAGGCATTTCTGATAAAAAACCCCAGGAGTGCTTGGTGACAGCAAGCTGTGCGTACAGCCACGAGATCCAGCTGAAAATTAAACTGCATGTCAAGAAGCCCGATCAATATAATAATTGCTCTAGGCTGAGGCAAACTACAGTCTCTGGTAAGACACACGAGTACAGCATCGGGCGCTACGCTGTGCCCTGGGTTATGAGGAAATTTATAAGCCGTGCTTATGAAACGGAACATGTGCCGAAGTACTGGGGTGGTGGCAAGACGAGTAGTTAGCCAGGAGGCTGAGGTGCACGGCAAGTATTTGGATCAATATAATCACAGCTGCAGGCTACGAGGAATGCAGCCTCCGCCTGAAGAGAGACGGGCGAGGTACGAAGCGGGCGGCAGCGAAAGCCGCACATAAACCCGGCTCAAGTTGCTGCTAAGTCCGGGCGGCTGCCGGGCGGCTCGGCCCGGTGCTGGCGTGCCTGTCCCGGCGCCGGGCGCCCCGCTTTGCC